GGATTTGCAATGAGAGCAAGAGCAGCATATATATATTGTAGAGGAGAATTCTGGGTAGAAGCCAATGCCTTATAATAAGCAGTAGATGAGGCATATAAAAAAGGATTTTTAGGTAAAAATGCATGTGGAAGTGGATATGATTTTGATGTATATGTTCACAGTGGAGCAGGTGCATATATTTGTGGAGAAGAAACAGTAATTTAATTATAAATATTTGAAAGGGTTTAATTGAATCATTAGAAGGAAAGCCAGGAAAGCCAAGACTTAAGCCACCTTTTCCAGCAAATGCAGGATTGTGGGGTTGTCCAACAACTGTGACTAATGTAGAAACAGTTTCAGTTTGTCCAACAATTCTTAGAAGAGGAGCAAATTGGTTTGCATCTTTTGGAAGACCTAATAATCGAGGCACTAAATTATTCTGCATTTCTGGTCATGTTAATAATCCTTGTACTGTTGAAGAAGAGATGTCTATTCCTCTTAAAGAATTAATTGAAAGACATTGTGGAGGAGTCAGAGGAGGTTGGGATAATCTTAAATGCATTATTCCTGGAGGTTCATCAGTCCCTATGTTACCAAAAGAAATTTGTGAGACTGTTCTTATGGATTTTGATGCTTTAAGAGATGTTAGATCTGGATTAGGTACTGCTGCTGTTATTGTCATTGATAAATCAACAGATATTATTGATGCTATCTTAAGATTAAGTAAATTCTATAAACATGAATCATGTGGTTAATGTACACCATGCAGAGAAGGTACTTCCTGGTTAGTTGATTTATTGGAAAGAATGAAAGTAGGAAATGCTGATTTTGCTGAAATTGATTAATTAGAAGTAAGATATGCATTCATTATTACTAGGAATTAACATATTAAATTGAAGGTCATACTATTTGTGCTCTAGGAGATGCTGCTGCTTGGCCTGTCTAAGGTTTAATCAGATCCTACAGAGAAGAAATCGAAGAAAGAATTGAAGACTATCATGCTAAACATCCAGTCAAATCTAGATAATTAAGAAGTCATCCTTAATAATCAAGTCATTGATAAATACATAAAATATTAATATCACCATCTTGGAATTGTTTGAGATCTCTTTTTCTCTTGTTTCAATAGTTTTAAACTCTTTTTCTTTGCCTTCTCATCTAACACTTTCTATACTTTCTCTAAGTCTTCTTATTTCAATTGATATTTATCCAATATTACCTTATCCTTTACTTCTTATTTCTTTAATTCAATTCTTTCTTTTTTTATCTATTCCCTAATTTTGTTAATTTATAAATTTAAATTTCTTATTTTTGTTTTGTACAAATCCT